TTGTAACTTTACGTTTTCTAGTAGCCGCTTTAAACTAAAACTTTAAAAAGTTAAAATAGATTGGCTCAAATATATTTTATATATATTAGGTGCAACTAATCTTAATAATACACTTTCATTTAACCCGATATATCCAAAATATTATCATTTTAACATGTAGCCGATATTTTTTTAATTACCTTCCTTTTTTCACTGTAAGTCTTTGAGGTATGTGTGTATTTTATACCCACAGCACATCTCAGTGTGGACTAGCCACATTTCAGGTGCTCGGTAACCCTAGGTGGCAGTGGCTACCTTGCTGGACAGCACAGGTCTAGGCAGACTGGTCAGCCATTCAGAGATTTAATCCCTTGCATCTCTCTCTCTTTTTTCTTTTTAAGAGACAGGATCTCACTATGTTGCCCAGGCTGGCCTTGAACTCCCAGGCCCAAGTGATCCTCCTGCCTCGCCTCCTGAGTAGCTGGGACCACAGGCACGCACCGCCCATTACAACTCATCCGGGATTCACCTTTCTAGCCTTGTTTCACTGAGTGGGGATAGAACTCTGGGCTGGGCAAGACATCTTATCCTGTGAAGTATAAAATGAGGGTAATAAAAATACCTACTTCTGGGGTTGTAGCAAGGGTTCAATGGAATAATATATGCAAAGTCCTTAGAACTTCCTGGAAGGAAGTAAATTCTCCAGAAATGGTGACTAATGAATCAAAACCTTCATCTACAGTGATGGTTAATTTTATGTGTCAAGTTGGCCAGGCTATGGTGCCCAGTCAAACACCAGCCTAGATGTTGCCACGAAGGTATTTTTTAGATGTGACAAACACTCAAATCAGTAGACTTTGAGTAGAGCAGATTGCCCTCGAAAATGCACATGGGCCTCAGCCCATCAGCTGAAGGTTTAAAGAGCAAAGACTGAAGTTTCCCAAAGAAGAGGCACTTCTGCCTCAAGACGGCAACATAGAAACCCCACCTGAGTTTCCAGCCTGCAGATTTCAGACTCACAACTGCGACATCAATTCTTCCCGAATTTCCAACCGACCTGCTCTACAAATTTGAGACTTGCCACCCCCCACAATCATGGAAGCCAATTTCTTAAAATAAATATCTCTCTCCATATAATATATGTGTACCCCCAGGTAGAGGCGTAACCAAAGCAGAGTATGGAACAGCCACACCTTCCGCATTCTGACTCAGGTAGTATTAGAACAAGGCAACACCCCAGCCCTTCCCTCCCTCCAAGTGAACTGTCTCTCGGGATCAAGGGCTGAGGCCAAAGTGGAAGTAATGCCCCCACTCCAGAGACCCTCCCCAAGGGAGGGAGACCAGAGGATGGGCTTTGCTGGGGGGGAGAGGGAGGTGAGGGAACAAGGCGAGACCCAGGTTACGCGGAGCTGCTCTTGAAGGCAAGCCCGCGGGTCCCTGTGATGCAGCATTGGGGGTGGGGAGGTCCCTGGGCACAGAGGGGCCGCTTCAGGGAATGGATGGCTCAGGTCCCTGTCCCCTCACCACTCTGGTCTCCTGCCAGAATTCCTGTTGAATTCAGCGGCCCACAGCAGCCAGAGTGATTTTCCTAAAGTACACATCGTGCCATCGCCACGTTCCAAAGTCTTTCCAAGGCTTCCCCATGACCTTAAGATAAAGCCCAAAAGCCTTTCCCACAATTTACAAGGCTCTGTGTGACCTGGCCACAGCCAGGCCAGCCTCTCACATCGCAGAGGTTTAGAAGTGTGTTATAAAAGAGCATGTAGTCAGAAGCCCATGTTTATAAAACCCTAAAATAATTGTATACATGCGTAGGGAATAACTACCGTCGGCTGGGACCTGGGTCTGTGCCAGGCCGTGACGCACCGCAGTCCCCCAGGTATCACGTCATTCCTCGTAAACGAGTAGACAGCGTGCTGCTGGCCTCTCCTTCACAGAGGGAGAAAAAGGCCCGGCCCAGGAGTGAGGGATGGAGCCAGACTTGACCGCAGGGCCACCAAGTCCAAAGGCCACACTCTTCACCACCAGGCTGGTTGGTGCCTCTGTGCAAACTGGAGATAATAATAGCTCCCACCTCATAGGACTGTTGCGAGGATTAAACGGGCTGAGACGTGCGAAGCTCTCAGAACGTCCTGGCACAGTATGAGGGCTCAGGAAGCGTGTCACACATAGCAGCTTCGTCCTGCCTCTGGGAGGCCCTGCAAGATCATACTCAAAAATATGCACAGTGATCTTCTCTGGTCCTAGGGTCATGGATGATCATATTTTTTTTTTTACTTTTCCACAATGACCAGGTATTACTCGTGTGTTTCTTTTTAAATTCTTGCACGTACGGCACCCTTGGTGAGCTGTCGGTATCCCCAAAGCAGGCCAGTTGATGTCTGAGTGACCTCCCAGGTTCACCCAAGGGCTGGCTCAGAGAGACACCCCACCCCCCGTAAAGGATCCTGCAGGAAACAGCTCAGAAGAGCCCTCCTAGCCCAGGCGCTCTGTCCCCAGGCTCGGCAGGGGTGGGAGCGGGAGGGGTGGGTGCGGACCAGTGCCAGAAACTGGCCCCAGCCAAGTCTGCCGTTCACTGCCATTCTCCAAAAGGCACGGTGAGATGCCCCGCGCCCTTCCGGACCCCAGGGGAGCAAGGGGAGCAGCCGTGATGCATGAGACCTCCGGCCCTGAATCCACCAACAGCTGTGACCACTTCAGCTATTTTAAACCCTTGGACACCAGGAGACTGTCACATCAACCAGGCACCAGGCCCGACATCATGGGCTTGAGCCAGGGCAGGAGCCCTGAGCTTGGGTGGCCAGGTCTGGGCTGGATTGTTTAAGGGGAAGGGGTTTCATTTCTTGAGGCTCTGTGCTAGTGTTTTCCGTGCACTGTTATCTCCTGTAATACCATCCTTATGTTATGCTGAGAGACCAGTTATTTCGCACATGCGGATAATGGGGCTCTGAGTGGCAAGGCCAGCGGTCTGAGGCTGCACGAAAGCAGAGCTGGTACTAGAACCTGCACTTCCTCATCTAGGAAGTACAGACCACATTCCTCCTCTGCCCTTACCAGCTCTGCCGCTGCCTCCACCCCCGGCCCTGCAAGTTCCTGGCTCGGCCATTCTTAGGAGCTATTCGACCCAGGGAAAATTCTCCGGACTCTCTGCGGCTGACTTTATTCATGTGTAAAGTGGCGGGTTTATTGGGAGGGTACAATGATCTGATTCTAAGACATGAAAAGTGCCGCTTGGAACAGCGCCTGACCCACAGAAAGAACGCAGCAAGTGCCCGCTGGTACTCCTGCTCTCCTGGGAATCCCGGCCTTTTTCCTGACGCTGTCACTGCCCTGTGATGACCTGCCTGGGCCTCAGTCAGTGGGGGCTGTCGTGTCCTCGCCCGACTCTTCGGCCCCACTTTCCCAGTGGGTGAAATGAGGGGGCTGTGCTCTAGGAGCCCCAGGAAGCGGGGAACCCTGGCGTATGCCCAATATCTGCCGCACAGTAAGGTCTCAAAAGTAACTCCTGGCAGAGGGGTGCCCAGCACGAGCCCACCTCTGGGGGCGCCTCGCAGTAGCTCCCAGCCACACGGTTTTTCCCCCCCGCTCTGGCAGGTGGCCACCGGAGAGCTGTCTCCTGATTGGAGGCTGCCCTGAGGGGTCTCCAGGAGCCAATCAGAAGTTACCGGCCCGCGGCCCCACCCCTACCCCCATCTGTGCACTGCGGTTTTGGGGGGCAAATGCCCGCCTGGCTGGGACTCTGGCCTCTCACCTTCCCCACCCACATTCCTCCCAGATCCCTGCAGCCCCAGAGCAGCTGGGCTCTTCACCACTCCTAACTTGGGCCGCCTTGGGGAGAAGGTTGGACTCAGAGCTGGAGGTGTCGGCTCTGGGCACTTGTCAGGGCTCACTTTTTCCTGGAGCCCCCATTCCCGCATCAGCCCTACCTCCTTCCCAGACACGCATCCCCTCCGCCCTACCCCTTCCCTCCCAGCCTCCACCCGCCCAGCCTCCAGTTCCTGTCCCACCCACCAGGGCCCACTTACATCTGTCTGGATTATCTGACCAGCCCTTCGCTTGGGTCAGAGGGGAAGGGCTGGGATGGCGGTGGGGGCTGGTTCCGGTCGCCACCGATTGTCACCCCGCACCTCAGCCTCCACAGGACACGAACTGACCTCTGCAGTGGCACCACCTTCACTCGGTGGCCCAGGCCAGAACCAGGGCCCCAACCCTTGTCCGCGCTCTCTCCCCGAACTCGCACATCCTGTCATTCAACAGGCGCCACCGAAGTCTCAGTCCATAAGCACGGGCCAGATCCATCTCCTCCTCTCCGGCCCTGTTTCAGAGCCCCCAGCGGGGCCCTCATGGCTTCTCTCCATCCCCGCACCTTCCACCGGGACAGAGGGGACAGCTAGAATGACCCATTTCACTACCATGCCCGACCACTGCTCGCTGAGGATGTCATCCCAGGCCCCACCGCCCACCCCTCCCCCATGCCTTGGTTGGCATTCTGGCCCTTTTCGGGTGCTGGGTTCCCGCTCCCACCCCTCCGCGTTTCCCTACGGCAATGTCGCTGGGTTGTCGAGGGGAGGAGGTTGTCAGGCTGTACCCAGCTCCCTGGCCTTGCTCAGGCGGCGCCCCTCCTCCCCTCCAGTTTGCAAGCGCCTCCTTTAAGAAGGCTCAGACACCCCTGCCTGGGGGACACCTTCCGGGACCCCAGGCTGGGTTAGGACACACCCTCTGTGCTGTCTCGTCTGCATTTTCTGTCCCACTGGACTGGGGCCTCGGGAGGGGAGACCGGCCCTGTGTGCTGGCGCCTGGCACCGGGCACCTGGGCACCCACTGAAGATTCGTTGAATGAAAGAACCATTTCCCTGCCGACTTCACGCAGACCACAGTGGGGGCGGGGAGGAGACGAGCTGGGGGCGGAGCCACGCTGGCCGGCCGGCCCACTCCGAGCGGATCCCGTGGGCCGCCCCGCCCACGCCCCGCCCACCGGCGGCTGAATAAGGCGGCGCCCGCGGCCCCGGCCGGCTCAGGCTGCTGGAGGGCTCACCTGCGACAGGTGCTCCCGGCTGCCCTGGACAAGCGAGCGCGGGCGGGGAAGATGCTGCGCGAGCGGACCGTGCGGCTCCAGTACGGGAGCCGCGTCGAGGCGGTGTACGTGCTGGGCTCCTACATCTGGACCGATGTCTACAGGTGAGCCGGGCCACCCGCCGGCCCAAGAACCCTTCGGACCGCAGATCGGCCCCAGAAATCCTGACACGCTCCCCCGACTCGGGGACGTGGACATCCTTCCTCCAGCCCAAGTCGCTCCTCATCCCGAGGGCCCCGCGCCCCAAAATCCTAAGAACCTCACCCAGAAACTTTACAACCCCCAGACCCTGTGCCCGCCTTTCCAAAACCCTGAGATCCCGCCCCCCACACCCTGACACAGCCTCAGCCCCAGCCCCAGCTCCCTCACTACTCCTCCCCAGACCCCTCCCCAGCGCCGTCCCCGCACTCTTCCTACCACGCCCTCTCCAGCCCCTCTCTGGGGCGACCTCAGCACCCCCTCAGCTTCCCCGCCACGCTCTCGCCTTTCACTTCCCCACTTGCCCTCAGCACATCCCTTCCTCTCGGGCCTCCCGACTCGCCGCCCACCCTGGCCCAGCCTCCACTCCCGCTTCCCACTTCCAGCGGGGCCCCCTGGAGCTCTGCTGGGGCCTGGGCAGGGCCGGAGGGGAGCTGCCCTGGGGTGGGGCAGAACCCGGCCCTGGACTGTTGCTCAGGCTCCAATTTCGCCTGCTGGGGGCTGCTGGTGGTTGCCTGTCCCGAGGCACTGGCCACGAGCTCCATGTCCCCAAATGCCTTCCCCTGACTTCACTCTGGGATCAGAGAGAGACCATATTCCATCCAGCCGAGGACAGGGATTTGGGGTACTGAGTGGGGTCTTTGTCGGAACAGGGACCCTGATTCGGGATCCTGTTCCCACTCCCTCTTCTCTCTGTCCATGAACTTGGTGGACTGCAGGATTTGTGAGACCACAGGACACAGGGTAGGGCCCTACCGCTACTCCAGCCCCCAGGAAGCAGCCAAGTCCATGATCCATGCCCCCTCGTATGTGGGACAGGGCCTTGGGAAGGTGTGGCTGGTGTGAATGAAGGGGCGGGGCGAGTCCCCGGAGGCTCAAGCTGGGGCTTTATCTGAAGCCCTCTATTTGGAGCATTTGAAATGTTCCCCATTGCTAGAGTTGGAGGGGTCAGTGCTGGGAGGAGGGGGCTTGCAAGACTCCAAGGTGGGACCCTATGCTAAGACCCAGGTGGGTCCCCTAACTTCTCTCTGCCTCAAGCTGAGCTCACATGGAGGTGCCAATGTGGCTTACTGCTCTCAAATCATTCTGACACCTGCAGCGCCCTGCCTCTGCCAGGCCCCCCCTAAACCCCGTCCCTGTGTCTCCCCACACACCCTCCCCAGCCCATCCTCTCCTTCACCTCCTGTGGCCCTGGCAGCCCTCCCACCTGCCCAGCCAGTCTCCTGCCACCTCCGCAGAGGCACTGGCCACGCTGACACCATCAAGCCCTAGGATCAGGGACCTGCTCAGCTCCTCTGCCCCTGGCCTCAGCCACCGCCTCACCCTGGACCTGGACCTCAGTCATCCTGCACCTAAACCTCACAGGCGAACTGTGTGGTCTCTGAGGGTTGTAACACTGCCAGTGGAGGGTGGTCCAGACACCAGTGGCCTGGGAGAGCTCCCCTCCCTTCCCCACCCCCAGCTCTGAACTGGGCACCGTCAGGGAGTGGGCTGGGAGCCAGGGTGCTCAGGTCTCTAAGCCCCAGCTGTCACCATACCCGCCTGTTTGTTTGCTGGGGCACTTTTGGTGCAGCCTGAAAGGCTGGCGTGGTGCCTTCAGTGGGGAATGGGGAGCCAAGAAGGGGTCCTGCTCAGATCCCCTACCCTTGCTCTGTCCTGGCAAAGAAAGGCCCGGCCAGGTGGGGGCAGCGAGTGGGTCAGGTGCAGATTCATCCTTCCTCTAGCAGGGGGCAGACTGTCTGTCCCCTTTGTCCTTCCTCAAGACACCAGCTACAGCCATAACGACCCACACCCCCCACCTGCACTTAAGATTCCCCACAACCTCCAAGAGGGCAGCGCAGCCTAGACCAGCACTGTCCAAAAGACATCGAATGGGAGCCACCATAAAGCCACATTTGTCATTTTAAATATTCTAGCAGTCCATACTTTTTAAAAAGTTGAAATAAATAGGTACGATAAATGTTAATAATATGCTTTATTTAACCCAATATAGCCAAAATGTTATCATTTCAATATGTAATCAATATAAAAATTATTAATGAGGTGATTTACATTCTTTCTTTCATGCTAAGTCTCTGCAAGCCAGTGTGTATTTTACACTTCAGCACATCTCCGCGTGGATTGACTGCATTTCAGTTGCTCACTAGCCACCCGTGCTGGTGGCCACTGTCCTGGACAGCACAGGTCTAGAGCAGAGTTTCGCAATCTCGACACTATCGCATTTGGGGCCAGATATTTCTTTGTCATGGGGAGCTGTCCTGTGTAATGTAGGATGTTTTAGTGACACCCCTGACCCCTCTCGCCTAGATGCCAGTAGCAAGCCCCAAATTGTGACAACCACAAATGTCTCGAGACAATGCCAGCAGTCCTCTGGCAGGGGGGCAAAATTATCCTTAGTTGAGACTCCTGGTCTAATGGAAGGAAGCGTCTTCCAGGACTAAGGAGTCTGGGCTGTTCCGGCTATTATTACTCATAATTTCTGTGTAATAAGAGCGACTGTCAGTGTTAATAAGTGAGCACTTAGGAATCGAACACATCATCTCATTTCATCCACACCATAGACCTTGGAGGTGGTTCTCAGTTCATCCTGTTTTGTAGATGAGGAAGGTGAGGCTCAGAGAGACGAGGCCATTGGCCCAAGGTTGCACAGGACTCAGGGACAGGTCTGTTTGATACAGAACTCATGCTCTTATCCTCCACTGTCTCCTGTGTGACCCTAAAACCAGCAGGTTGAGCTAGACGAACCCCTCGGCCTATGTCCCTTCCACCCTCCACCCTGGCCACAGGCGCACTGCCCCGGGAGACTTCACCCAGTCCCTTTGGCCCTCTACTTCCCACTGAGTCCTTCCCAGCCTAGACACAGGTCCTGGCTCAAGACCCCAAGTGATACCCCCAGGGCCTCTGAGTAGACCCCAAGGAACAAGGCCTGGTGGACACTGGGCCCAGTTAGGTAGGGAGTCACAAAGGTGAGCAAACAGGCCTCCGCACCCACCGAAGGGCTCTGGGCTCCCTTTCCCGAGATGCACATGCAGCCTCTCCCCTCCAGCCACACAGCGGGGGCCTGGCCTGCGCCAGCCTCAACAGACCTTGTGATCCTGGCAGAGACTGCCCTGCCAGTATTAGCTCCCTCCCTCCACCCCCGCAGGATCGCCTGCAGCTCTTAGGGACTGAGGAGCCCTCAGGGCAGTGAGAAGAGGCAGAATTTGAAGTAAGCCAGACTAAGTTCTCATCCACTGGCTGTGTGACCTTGAGCAAATTGCTTTACCTCTCTGAGTCACCACTGACCCAAATGAGGGGCAATCAGAGAACATAAGGAAGGACCCGTACTCAGTAGAAATTGTTGTGCGCAGGGTCACAGTGATGTGAACAGTCAACCACTTTGCTGTGCCACCATGGGCCATCCAGGCCACCACGGGAAGGAGGTACCAGCTTTCTCCCAGCAAAACTGATCCCTTCGGGGATGGATGCCTTGACCCGGCCACATTCTGACTGCTCGTCTCCAGCAAGCTATGAGTAGACGCACAGAAAGAAGGAAGTAGGATTTTTTCTAGACATTGATTGTTGTTTAAGATATTTACTGTTTCCTTCTGCTATTCCCGAATATACTCACCTTAAGTCTGGCACAGGTACACCTGGCCCACACCACCTCCCCCAATGGACCCTTTAGCTGGCAGCTGCTTCTGCACTGGGGCTGGCCTGTGTCCTCAAGTGGTTTGGGCTTGAAGTTGGAGAGAAGGCTCTAAGGGAATAACGTCCCCAGGTTGGTTTCACTCTGGCCACCCACCTCTCGTGGGTTATGTTTTCCATGCACTGGACTCTCCTGGAGTCCAGAAGGATTGGAGAGAGGGCAGCCTCGAAGTAAAGGAGTGGGACGGTCACCCTCTGCCCGACCCTCCCACTGACCCACAAAGTGTACCCTGGAGATGGCTTCTCCTGTCCCTCCCTCGGTTTATACATCTTTCTAAGGGAGTGAGGGCTCTTGACAAGGCAGTTGTGCCCTTCTCCTCCCAGGTAACAAGGCCAGATCGTGAGTTCTGCAGGAGCTTCGGGACAAAGAGATGATGTTAACAATTGTCTCTTGCCCCTGCAGAGCAGCGTCCTGGTCTCATCTCACCTGGCGATGAGCCCACAAGGTGGCAGGTGGGGGCCAACTCCTACCCCTTCGCCGGGATTCCCCAGGGCAGAGGCTGACCAGCCATCTTCCCTGGCAGGGCCTGGCCTGTCGCTCTCTGGCGGAAGATGGGAAGAGGGAACCAGGGCACGAGCTCGTAATCTCCAGCACAGACTCACTCCCAGACTTTCTCTGTCTCGTGGTTGGTGTGAGTGCTGGGGATTTAGGACAAAGTCCAGGAGGGTCTGAGTCCATTTGCAGTGATGCTGCAGGCTCCCCTCCCCACAGTGTGCCAGGCCCCGCCTCACTGACCCCTCCTAGCAATCTCACTGCGCACACTCCGCCGTTAGCCTTGAACGCGCCAAGCTCATTCCCACCTCAGGGACTTTGCAGTTGCTGTTCCCACTGCCTGGAACACTGTCTCCCAGACCTCTGTAAGCCGGACTTTCATCAGTCAAGTCTCGGCTCAAACGTCACCTCCTCCAAGCAGCTTTCTTTGACTACCCCATGTCATGGTGCCCTACCCTGGGCCCTGGGCACTCTTTACCTTAGTATATTTTTTTCTTTGCACATCTTATTATTTACTTAATATTACTAGCTAACACTTATTGAATACTTATTATGTAGGAGGCAGTCTTCTTAACACTTTGCGTACTCATCTCACACGTATGTAATAATTTACATGTCCTTAAAGCTCACAACTTCATGGTACTATTATTAGGTACTGTTATTGCCCTCCTTTCACGAGTGGGGGGACTGCAGTGAGGAATGTGTGTCCAGGCTGGCACAGCCAGT